ATGCATGATAAGTTGTGTATAAATTCCTATTCATTATAGAAGTTTGTGGCTCATTTATTGTTTTCCCTTTTCATTTCATCTTAGATGTTTAGGTGGGGCTTGAGGGATTCAAAACATAGTGTATTCAACTAAGTTGAGAAATTGGTTATAGTGCTGTTCCCTTGGGAGGGTGATCTGTTCAGTTTCAGAGGGTGGTGACTGCGATTGTCGATGAATATTTTTCCTTCATAAAAAGATATATGGAGAAGATCTGATGAGTGACCTAAAAGGCAGTTGAGATGCATAATGTTTACTTTAATGACAAATTAAAATAGTAAATAAATTGGAGCAATCTCCCTATTATGTGCAATTCACTTTTCCCTTACAAATTGTAATAACTTTTTTTTTTTTTTGTAAAACCTCTTCTGCTTACTATGTTTCTAGAGTATTAGTAGTGATTTCTCCGGACAACACTTTTTCTCTAACAAAGGGACAATCAATTTCAATATGTTTGGCTTTTTCATAGATGCAATGTGAAGTGCAACTTGATTGTCACTAATAAGCTTTGTTTCATGGATGTCCCCTATTTTTAGCATTAGTAGTAGTTGCCTAAGGCATGAAGCTTATAAGTGGCTGAGCACGATATTTTGCTTCTGCACTAGATCTGACAATCATATTTTACTTCTTGCTTCTCCATGAGATAAGGTTTCCTTCGATAAGGTTTCCTTCAATAAGAACATAGTACCCAAAATTGGATCTTTTAGTTGATGGTGATCCTGCCCAATCCACATCAGAGTAACAAGTGATCTTAGTACTGTCTTTGCCTTCATACAATAATCCTTGTACTGGAGCATTTATGTTTCGAAGAATAGGTGTCGGGTTTGGTGACGGTGAGATAGTTGAGTCGGCCTATCAAGCAACAATGTCTTTCCAGCTCTTTCAATGGGATCCCGGAAGAAGGTTGATATTGGGATCCATAGGAGTATCATAAGGAAGACAATCAAGCATAGCAGTTTAAGAATGTTTTGGGCATACTTACGTTGATTAATAACAATTCTAGAAACAGATTGAGCAACTTTCAATGCCTAAGAAATATTTTAGAGGACCCAAATCTTTAGTATGAAATTGTTGTGAAAGATGCTTTTTGATTTGTCAAATTCTAGTCTCATCATTACCTGTGATGACAATGTCATCAACATAAACAACAAGATAAATGCACTTGCCAAAAGAGGAATGAAAGGACAAGACAGAATGATCAACTTCACGCCTGGTCATGCCAAACTGAATCAAGACAGAACTGAAACAACTAAACCAAGCCCGGGGAGATTGCTTCAAACTGTTGAAGCTTACAAACAAGATGAGAATTGCCGGGAGCAAGAAAACAAGAGGGTTGATCCATATAAACTTCTTGCAATTCACCATGTAAAAATGCATTTTTAATATCTAGCTGATAAAGGCCAAAGATGAATAGCATCCATAGCCAAAAAGAGACGAACAAAAGTTATTTTGGCCATGAGGTCCTGCTGTCACTATATAAACCCAACAACTGCCAACAATTTGCTTGCCAGGAGGTAAAGGACCAAGTTCCCAAGTGCCATTGGAATGTAAGGTTGCCATCTCTGCCATTGCCTGATGTCAGCTGGTATCAACCATGGCTTCACATGTAGTCTTAGAAATAGACACAAAATCCAAAGGAGAAATAGGATGGAGAGAAACAATCATAAATAATGGTAAAAGCATAGAGGGTTAGGATTACAAGAGGAACAAATACCTTTTCGTATTGCAATAGGAAGTTTAGGTGTTGGAGGCGTGGGCAGAGGGACAGTTGGAGCGTGAAATGATGCTTGAAGATTAGTAGAGTGAGTCAAAATTGGAGTTTTAACCCGTGGTATTGAAACAAAGGACGTTGAGGAGAAGCATAACCAAGTTGGAATATAGAAAAAATATCAAAACATTTTTTTATTAAGAATAACAAAGTACATTGGGAGAGATAGTCAATGAAAGTAACGATGTAACAAAAAACCATAGCTGGACAGCAGCAGCCTAGGAGCTATAGTTGCTCGTCTCGGTTAGTTGCAGGTCTGGGTGCATGTGCAGCGAATCAGGGCGGCGAATGAAGAACAGTGGTCTCTGGAGGAAGACTGTCTTGATCACAGTGGTCACCAGAGGAAAATGACGTTCGGTGACTGAGAAAAGGGGCATACAGTAGCTGCTGGTACTGTCACAAAAAATAAAGATAAAGAAAATCCAAGATCGAAACCCTAAACTATTGATATCATAGAATTGTAGATGTTCTAAAAATGTATTGTGTGTCTAATGCAGACCACACAGTATGTATTTATACTATTTTAGAGAGTCAATTATAATAAAAACACCTAATAATTAGCAATCAATCATCCTAATTTTCCTAGATTATGTAATGGTTAATTTCCTACAAAATCTGGAATAGCTGATTACATTCTAACAAGCTGAATGTCCAATATTATAATGAAGATCTTAGATAATACTTGTCTGAGAACATATATATCAATGTAGTGCATGCAATCATGTATTTATTTAAATATTTGAAATCCATGGATAAAGGAGAGTAATCATTATCTCAACATTCACACTTTACAAATTGAACATGATTTTAGATGACCACAGTTCCATTCTAGGTTACCTTGTATACTGATTTCTCTTTGATGATATTTTTGCAGGATACGAGATGATGTTGAGAAAGAGGATGCTTTTAGAGGCCTATGTGCTATGGTAATTTCCTATTCACACTAAAATTTTAGATGTAGAATTGTAAAGTAATTGGTATCTTACACTTGCTTTCAGGTCAAAGCTAATCCTTCTGGAGCTCTAAGCTCGCTTGTTTACATGTGCAAAGCGATTGCAAGTTGGCATGTACGTTTAGCCGTCAGTATGGTCATCTTAAAAGTTAAAAATTGCTTTAAAGATTTTATAATATAACTGCTTTTATTAACGTCTGTAGGAAATAAGGAGTGAAGATTTACACAATGAAGTCTGCCAGGTCTTGCATGGGTATAAACAGGTTAGTGTTTCTTTACTTTAAGGCACACATCTACCTTTTGGGTAATGTTATGTTCAAGTTATAGCCGCAATACTCTGCTCGTGATAATCAATGCAATCTTATGTTTATGCTGTAGATGCTTCGCAATGGAGCATGGGATCAGTGTATGTCTGCTTTGGAGCCTCCAGTAAAAGAAAAACTTTCAAAATATCAAGTATAATTTGTGTGAGCTTTTGTATCTTCTGCGTTGACCTTGTTGGGCGTTGTGTTGAAAAGCAATATTGGAGTCCGGATTCATATGAAGCAGGAGCTTAGTCTCGGTCCAAGTTTCCAGACAGAGTACCAGTACTTGTACAATTCGTTTGAGCTTGATGATTACAAGCAGTTCCACAAGCCTCGAGATCTCATTTGATGGAGTTTCCCATGAGAAATGTACAGGGGAATGACTTTCAACCTTTAGAAATGCTTGATTCTTTGTTGTCTTTATAGTTAAAGCCTTAATTAAAGGCTAGGAGTTTTATTCAACCCTTGTGCTCGTCGCCACAGTTTTCCAATTTCTATAGTTCAAGTTGATAGGTTGTGTCTTGGTTACACAGTTTTGTACCACCAGAGAGGGAGGGGAGGGGTATATGATCTGGCTCGTAGTTTCCAGAGTATTTAGTTTGTTAAATTGTTTGTAAGATGTAACTTGAAAACCGATTTCGACGGTTTTGCCTTAGGCAGCACATCATTTAAATTTTGATTGGGACAATAATTATTTAAACTTGTGCATGCATCGTTGTCTTTCTTTTTATGCTTTCATCCCAAGGGAAAAATGTGGGCATTATTTTCTTATGACATCGATGCCCCTTAAAGCTAGTTAATGTCTACAGTAGCTATACTTGTAGTTTGAGAATAATTGATCCACTGAGGGATTTTTAGCTCTCACTGTGTGACCCCTGACAATATTAGTGTTTTCTATCAATCGGAAGGTCAGCACTCGGTTGAAGATCACAAGTTCCACACTTGACCTTGCTCGGGAAAATACCGCTTGAACCTCTCCTTTTTCTCCGTGGAATGCAGTTCTCAAATCGCTTCCTCGTTATATCACGAACAGTATACGTCCCAAACTTCTTTATAGTAACAGTTTGGGTTTCGTCACTCACTAATCCACCATTCGTGGATCGACATAGCGTCATTCTTGTTCTCATTCTCCGTTTTCTTGATTGACCTATCCAACGACGACTGATGGGCATTTCTTGCAGGCAGTGGTTGGGCAAAGTTATGTAAACAAGAAACTGGAAAAGCTATGAAGGCTGCGTGACTTTCCGTAGGTAAATTGGGAAAGATTAAAAAAAAAAAGAAATAATTTCGTTGGTTTTAAAATAAAGAGATTTATACAAATATAAGTTTCCCCGGTGGGAAGGTCCACCGTAATATGCGTCTCCATCAGTATGTCTTTTTTCCTCATCACCGTGACAGAAATACTCTCTGTTTGAGTATTTCTTTCTCCAATTAGATGAAAGGAGTTTTTCTCGTTATTGGTATGATTTTTTACTAGAAGATAAATACTTTTTGTCATAATTTAAGTGATATAATATTTAAATTATTTTTAAAGTGTTATAATTGACAATTATATTTAAAAATAATAATGCTATGTTAATATTGGATAAAGAATAATTCTAATAGTTATTAAACATACACTTCTAGAACCGACTAATAATTTAGTATAATATGATAATATTTTTATATTAATGTAGTATACTGTAGAAATACATAATACACAGCTGTTGTTCATCTGGGTTTATTATGTCTCTGTTTCTTTATATTTTGGACGCTTTTAATTGTTATTTGCCTTCCATTGAATATCTCAAACCACACCTGCCAATTTCTGGTTTGAAGTATTCATATTTGGCATTGTTACAACTAAGCAACTTTTAAACAATTTTGGTCTTGCAATTATTGTTCTACCCAAGGAAAGTTGGCATTACCAATGCCAGCACAAATTTGCATACATTAATGCTCAGTAGGAGACACGTATATAACGTTGTGGGTTGAAAAACTGATTCTTGGCAGCTTCCCATTCTATTCTTTCCCATTTCTTTTTTCTTTTGATATCTTCTAGATGCGCCATTGATTCTTTAGCTTCCATGTCCATGAGACCCTTTGAATACAGATCTGGATCCATTTCTTCCAGCATCACCTTCACACTTTCCGTTAGTTGTCTAACGCTCTTGCTCCAATGCCACTTCAGGTTCTTTTCCATGCCTTCCACAATCACATTAAACACTTCCACTGTTCCTATCAGTGCCATTTTCACGAACTGCTCATTGTTCCACATATACAGTGCACGCTCCGCTACCTAACACAAAATTATGCATCATAAATAAATTTAAAAAAAATCTGTTTATCAAATGCGAAATTCATGAAGCTGACAAAGGGAATTTCTTGTACTTGAATCAGCAGAGGAAACCATGAAGGTTTATAATTAAGTATTACGTCTCATCTTATTCAATGACAATCTAGTA